ACTTGCTCTTACGACTTTGAATCACAGTTCAGCTACAGAGAAAGGATTGCACAATCATTGCTTGCTGACAACAACAAACATCCTCGTACAAAATTTTACGGGTACCGGGTGTTTACGAAGAATAACTTATGAGGAAAACTTCTTAATGAGTTTATACATTGGTAGCGCCGTTTAGAGGCTCAGTCATCGACACTTCCTTGCGATGAGTAAAACCCCAAATGCCGAAGATAACAGCAACTGCGATCAGATATAGACCAACAACGAAAGCAATGATGGACGTGAATCCATGTTGCACGCCACCACATGTGAACAGGAGACCGAGATAGAGGTAGAACGAACCACGACCAAGGAGATGACTCAAGAACTTCGCTTGAGAGAAAATGACCTTGGAGAGTTTCGATCCGGGGAACAACTCTATGAAGGTCAGAGCGATACCAAATATCATAAAGAATACACCGAGAATATAGGACAGAGGATTAGTAACCATGTTGAAGAAGTTGAACATACTCAGCAAGCCGGCAACGAACGTAGCAAGAGCAGCCAATACGCCTAGAATACGAATCAAAGCGTTGCTGCCGTTGGTAGTGTCGGACCAAGCTCGAGAGATCTGAAAGAAGTAACTGCATGTACGTATCGAATTGCAGAATGGCCTACTTTCTCTTTCCACGTCAGGTTTGGTTTCATACCGGGAGTAGAAGTAACAGCGGTCATTATGGAAGATTTGAACGAGTTTTGAAATTCAGATACTGTCAATAACCATACCAATAAAACCCCTCTAAATATTCTACACAAACTCAAACAGATATAACGTGACGGCACCCGATGTAAGATCAAAGAATTTGAAAGCCCTCACCAAAGCTAAAGAATTTTTACTCAATCTTGAGTTGGCTAACACTACTAGCGTGGCAGACTTCGCGTCAGATACAATCGATTACAATGGCGTAGCAAGTGCGACGTGTGACGCATTCATGTTACACACTTCATTGAACAAATTTGTATCCTCATGGACACGAACACAACAACTACAGCCAAGCCTTCCTTCAAGGATAAGGTAGCGAACCATTCACGTTATAGTGGCCGCCCAGACGTTGCAAGTTGGAAGTTGAAAATTGGTCTCCTCTCAAAATTTTCATTGAAAACTACTCTTGGAAACTTCCTTTATTATACGATCCGGACTCCAGAGCAGCGAGCTTCTGCGTTGACTGTATTTTTCCATCTATTCAGGCTCGATCAGCATGGAGTGGTCTCATTGGCGAAGACTCCAACCCTATAATGAAGATTGCTGGAATCATTGCGGCCTTCTTAATCGCTCTCATCGCCTTCTTCGGCTTCTTCAGATTCTTCAACATCGTAAGATCACAGTGATATACCCGAATCACACATTTATGTTTTCCAACTAGTACTAGTAGTAGTAGTAGTAGTAGTAGTAGTAGTAGTAGTAGTGGTAGTAGTAGTAGTAGTAGTAGCGGACGTCAATCCTCCCTTGTCACACGTCCTTTCTCAGGTGCTTAGCCCACTATCATACATGTTATCCATATTTTATATAATAATTGGACTCGCTCTCCTAGCAGTCGAAATAGCTCCAACATGGTTCTTATCAAAATACCTGCTGGAGTGGGCACCTTTCCTTGGTACCCTCATAGGCCGAGGTTTGGTGTACCTCTATATAGGGCTGCTCTATGTAACAGGCGGCGCCCAAGCCGGAGTTACCTCTTGGACCTACCTGATCATCGGCATCTATCTACTTGTGGTAGCAGTAGCCAACTTCGTGATCGGTTACATCGAGAGCAGGGGAACTCCCATGCCTAACAGCAACGTGTAAATACGTTGGATCACTTGGAACACTCAAGATGCTTCTGCTGTAAGCGTTTTCCTGTGAGTATAAATACCCTCGAAGACGATTTTCATGGTTTAAGTTGCGCTGTTGTGCTCGGAAATGAAATTTTTGTGGCTAAGAACGTACGTGATATCACCGCTGTCACCTTCCAATGAACCACAAAATCGTGATCCCATTCGGTTTGATTCACGCTCGTTTTCCCTGCGCATAGTTTTCCGATCCTTGTACGGCTTTATATAGTGAGTACTTGTCGATATCAATGGTAGCACCGCAATCATCAACTATCGGGGCCCAGAGCTTCACTCCAGGCGAGCGTCCTCAGCCAACTGGCTTTAAGGCAAGGGTAAGAACATGGTCATCAGCAGTAACTTTCTCGAGGCCATCCTAGAGGTGTGTAGGTACAGAACTTGTGGAGTAAAGCCATTGATGGTGACCCCTTCTTTATACGTATCCTAGGGTGCCTGGCGGCTATCGGTATCATTATAGTGTCGATACTCAGTTGCTTCAATTTCGCTAACTCGGTAAGTGGGGTCATAACACGAACTGTGCTTGTGGGCTTGTTTAGGATCTTTTACTCTCTCGCAGGTCCTCAACCCGCTAACCTACATCCTTATAGTCTTCTATCTAATATTCGGCATCATCCTCTGCTTCATCGAGATTCTACCAAGTTCCGGTATCACGAGTTGGTTCATCGAACGCGCCACCTTCCTGGGGACTCTTATGGGCCGAAGTCTGGTGTACCTCTACCTGGGTCTTCTGTTCATCGGTGGCGGCTCGCAAAATGGAGCTTCCTCATGGGCTTACATCGTACTTGGAATCTATCTCGTTGTTGTCGCGATCATTTTCATGATCACAGGGTGGAGGATGAGGTCTAGCAGAGAGACCAACTCCTTGCCAAACAGTCGGGTGTAGAAGTCTACTAGTATCGATCTATCACGTCGCAGCTAGTCGTATCGGTCTCAATGACTTTTTTGTATCATCCTGTCTTAGTTTTCAAGAATTGCTCAAGTTGTGTTGGTCAGTCTCCAGCTAGCTCGGTTTTTCACGCTATAGTCTCGCCGCTGTCGGTGTGACAGTTCACTATCCACAAAGCGCAAGAAGTGGCTCGGCTGTTGATGTTACTTAACTTTGAAGTCGGAAATTGAGTTCGGGTGGCGACAGGAAACCTCTGCTCTTAGAAATTCATCGTTGGTGATGTTGTTTTATGAGAGATTGAGTAGA